GGTGGGTTGGGATGTGGGGGTGGGATGGGTTGGGGGGCGTGTGTGTCTGTGTGTGTGTGTGTGTGTTACGTTCAACTTTCAAGATACAAGGTGGTAGACTCTGCTGGTGTAATCATTTAGTCCCCGAGTTTTCATGTAGCCTTGATGGCCACAGTTATCTCTTTTGTGTAGTGACACGGTTCATAATATACACATTTTACAGGTTAATAATTTGATATCAGCCAGTTCTTCTTTAAAGTTTTATTTAAAAAAATAAGGGTTTATGTTAGATGTGCTGTTATGAGGTAAAATGAAACTTCCTTAACATTCGAAGCATGAACCCGTCGCCATCTTTAATGTACTCACCAAATGGTACAATTGGTTGTCATTCGTTCGTATCAAAACAAATTCGTATTTTAAATAATTTCTTGAATAAGTTTTTCTTTTAACCAAGCAATGTTTTATTTTATCGGTGTATTCGTTACAACTTTACGCTTGAAATGTTGTATGTTATAAATTCGCCTTGTTACGTTGTTACGGAAGGCGAAGAAGTCGAAAGTTAAATAGTGACCAAGTATATCTGGTAAAAAATACATTCAGATTTTATTTTGAATAGAAGATTTGTACAAAAACAAATCATTGGATAAAAAGAGTTGTCGTGATTTGTAATTTGTTGATATTTTATTGATTGAAAACGGATTGTAAATATTGATTGGTCGAGAAATATGTATTGCGTTTGTTTTGCACTACGTTCAGTTATAACTGGAAAAAGAACATAAAGCATTTGTCTATGTTGAGTATTATTTCCAATTTACTTTAATACTATTGTCAAACATTATTTGTTAATGGTTTTGATGAGATTGTTTTTGAATTTTCATTATCTGGATTGTTTTTTTAAAATTTTAACAATCTCCATTATTTGTGATATATAACGTCTGTAGATTTGCAGGTCCATGATATATGTCCGGGGTTGAAGTTCACGTCATCTTTGTATTATCCCACGTTTCATGGTTACGAGATAATGCATTGTTGTTTGTCCAGCGCACTGTTGTACTCTATTAGTTTGACATCGTTAAGCCCAAACACAGCCCATAGAACATCATCCCTGTCTATACAAACAGCAACCGCTCTGAAATTGTCAATGTGTATGATTCTGATGAACTCACCACGCCCACTGATGAGAAGGATACATTTCCCTATGACACTATCATACACCACACCCCGGGGGTTAAATGGTGCACATCCTGACTGTGATGTTGGGTGACGTGTATGTGGGACTCCACCATCATATACAAACAGTTTCTTGAAATATGTGTCCATGACAACAACATATGGTTTCCCTTCACCACCACTATGTATACTATCCTGGTAAGTCACTGCGACATTGTGAGTGAGAGGACACTCTGAGATACTGTGTGGTGTACACACTAATGGCATTCCAGCCCCATACAGCTAATGAATTATTTACCAATGCACCTTTTGTGGAGAATTTTGAGATGTGTTTGGCCATACCCACAATTACATGGTTACTGGCTGTAATACAGATACACTGTGGTGACTCCATGGTACTGAATCTGTTTACTGGTCGACCTAACACGAGCTCCGTGATGTTGTTTTTCCAGTCACAGATCCACAGTGTGTTGGTTGTTGGTGACAGACTTATGTCTCTGATCAAAGCATTGGGATAAACCTCCTGTATTTCGCCCCTCCTGTTCAGTTGAGTTAGGGTGTTACCATCACTAGTCCACACCTGCCCGTCAGTTGTTGGACATACAGAAGATGTAAAACAATACCGTCTCTTTTTATTTTATTAATTTTAACAATTCCAAAATGTTTGGCAAGAGTTTTGAATACACTTTATTTGGATTTGGAAATGAGGAGAAAACGTTACCAGTCTGCAGTCAGTATCAAAATTAATGGTCTCAGCTCCCTAGGGTCTGACTTGGCCTAATTGTAGCTTCCTGAAGTACTCCTGTCCAGGACATGAAATTATAATTACTCAAGAGCATGAAAAAATCACCATTTGTTTCTAAAGCTGATTTTCCCGTTATAATGCTGCTTGACCATCACCTACCTTCGTACATTTTTCCTCCTGAATTTTATAATAATCGACCTCGGCCTATCGAATGCCTTTTAGGAATTCTGTGACCAGCTATAATGTCTAGTTGACTGATGTTGACGTCCTCCTTTTATAGATAATAGCACAGAGTGATCACATCCGGGGTCAGGTCTCTCTCTTTTCTTTCTCTCTCCCTCCTCCCCCATTTCCGTCGGGCCAAATACCTTAATTTTGTTTTGTCGACTATATTGTTCATTGTAATTTGCCATTCGTAGTCCCTCCATGCACAGATCTGTTTTATATCCGACATCCCTCTGTATGTCTACCATTACATTCTTCATCTCTCTTTACCCCATTACAGATCTGTTTTATATCCGACATCCCTCTGTATGTCTACCATTACATTCTTCATCTCTTTCTTCCCCTTTTCCAGTTCTGTTTATATGCCTTTCTTTACCTTGAACTGACTCTTTAAGTCTATGATTATGTAAGTTCATAGAGTTACGTATGTAGTTATTTCCTGTTGACATTTTGTAAGTAAAATGTGTCCTCCAGTTTACAGGGTTGTACAAAAAAAGTGACCCAAAGTATGTGAGTACTACTTACACCACCACCATGTTCAAAACATATAAAGATCAAACTCTGTCAAAGCTGATATTTTTCACAATTAATTTTTTTCTGTCAATGTGTAGACAAAATACGTAAACACATATCTGACAAAGGTAAGCACTGTAGTTAATAGATACCTACATACGTCTATCCTTTATTGTGAGAGCATGTGTGTCTTACATGGCAGCCATTTTTAATCTCACAGCCACATACTTAACATACAACCTTTGGGTGGGGTTTGAAAGTTGGAGTCAAGAAATGCAGCCTTTTGTTTAGCTTTCACTTAATTGCTTTTTGAAGCTGCTATTCCTTTTTCCGATATATTCGACCCACTCTGAAAGTTATTCAAATTCAGAATGTTCTGGTTTTGCCCATATTTATTTCATAAACTGGATGAAAAAAATGTTTACTCTATTTTGGCTTTTCATGAAGGAGTGGAAAGTGGACTGATGTATAAGTGTGCGGAAGTGGAATAGGCAGCTGTGCGTTTGCCCCTAAAGATGAGGCATTGCTAAGGATTTGTGGATGGCGTGGTGTATTGTTGATCATGTCTGCCATCACGCTGAACGGGACAGTCTTTGTATCAAATCAATGTTTAGACCATTGGGAAAGCCAAACCTCTGGAAACGCCGAAATTGAGCGTTGTAACGACAGCGACAATACGAAAGTGAGCAGTGACAATTCCACCAACTGCTGTACGCCTGTACGTGATGTTCTGAGAGATCTGTTTGACGTTTCTCTGTAATCGCGACCAGTTCTGGTTGTGTGTGTCATACCGAGTTTCCTTTTCATGTTAGGTAAGATATATCAATCTGGTAATGGTATTATTTCTACGTTTTTGTTTATTGCATATCGAATTGCATCATAAAATAATAAAAAAACAAATCATCAAGAAACCTTAAAAATATCACTTCAAACATACACTATATTTCAGTAATTAATGTAATAATTCCTGCTACTACGCTGCTATTTATACTTAGCTTGATGGCGCATTATAGTGGTTTTGTTATACAAAATGAAAGATTTTTTTTTTAAAACTATGTTAAGATCAAAAATCCCATTTGTCAGTGTAACATGGGGTTCCGCTAAAAATAATCACTAGTGAATGGCAACTGCTTGAAGAATATGGAAACGAAATCTATTCATACGAGATTAAGATTAACATTTTTCGAACCTCAATTAACATAGGTCTATTGTAACAACTGTAGAATGTGTGATATAAAACCATTTACTTAACATGTCCATGTATCTAACGCAGCTTCACTTACCTTTCAATGTAGTTATACACACAGTTCTCTGATAAAACACCACTTAACTCTTCATCCCGTGTGTTCAACTTTTTACTCCCAGCTGAAACCTCTCAGATAGAAAGCTTTGCAGTCTGTTCGTCAAAAGAATAAATCTATCGAGAAATTCCTTAGAACAGTATCTGGAGTTAGGACAACTCTAACATATGAAAACCATTATCAGAAAAGCCTGGTATGTTTATTCCGAGGAATATAAAAATACCAGTCATTGAATTGAAGTTGTCGTTTTTCACATGTAATTGTATCGCACCCATACAAAGTGTAATACATCATTTCATTCGACTGCAGATTTTATTTTAGAAATCAATAATACCGTATAATAGAAGTTGATAAAAATTGAGAACTCGATCAACATACCTGTAATATACACAAGTTATCATGATCGATAAAAATAGATAGCGCAATGAAATAACGCCATTGAAGAACCACTTGATTAAAAAATGTCCAAACATTAAAAAGGTTAATTGAAATCGGTTGAATTGTTATGTCACTCTTTCACAATATAAACAACATTTCATGGTTTTTAATTACCGATATTGCATTCCAACATCACGCTTGATTGTGCAACACCAGACGTATATAAATAATATATTTCAGCGTAATAATACCACAGGATATGAACGCGAAATCTAGAACTATTCTATGCCAATTCCATTGCTTTCGTTTGTCATGTAAATCAAGAGTAGGCATGTGGAACAAGTCTGCCCAATTCAATGACACATTCATTAGAAATATTAATTGGAATCAATACATTTTCATTTAAACAAATATGCACGAGTTGGGATTTGAAAATAGGCACCCTTAAATAATACAACACAAATGCTCATTTACAAATAAATGTACGTAAGATAAAAATACAAAGGTGGGGTCAACATTTGGCCCCCTCTTTGATTTCTATTATTCTTTTGCCTTATGTAGGTACGTAAATTTGGTTGACTCTTTGCTATGTTTTTTTTTTCTATAACCATATATGAAATTGCTTGGTAGGATGGGATTAACATTAAAAAAACCTAGCAGGATTGACCACAGGGTATGGCTTCGTTCTTGAGAGACCATATACACATTTACAGGACAGGAGAAAAAACGAACGCAATCAAACTTCCAAAATCGGTTCAGAGGATCGTCGATTCAGATAGAAGAGCTCTGTTTATAACATATTTAAAGTTCATATAGATAATTATAAAGCTCTATACTTAACCATTAACATATTTGATCATACAAATGTACCATTAACCATGTTTCTCTCGAAAGTGTTTTACGAATGTTTTTTTTAAAGTGTACTTTCAAGTAAATATCGATCCATATTTCACGAATGAAAAGGTTAAGCTAACATAAAAGTGACACATTCAGATCCGGTAAGCATTTGTTGTGTAGTTTTCGACATCATAATACGAGGGGGATATATTCTACTTGTTTCATAATTGTTGTAAAATAAATAAAGTTTTTATATACAACTCTTACGTATTAACTGTGAGACACAAGTATCTAATTAAATTGTGAATCGAAAGGCTACAAGACCGCCGGAACGACACGGTATAATCTTTGCACAAAGGATGTACGCCTCGTTGGTTGAGATCACTAATGAAGAAAAGGAACACGTTTGAAATAAAAACAAAGACATATGTATCTATTATCATTTAATTTAATTGGTCTGTTTGTAATCCAGAATATTTCATTAAAACAATCATGCGCGTCAATTGCATTGCATACAAAGTTGTTGTTCTGTCAGACGGTGACGTGAACCGGGCGGAACAAACTCCCACGCACCGATGATTCGTGCCTAGCGTTCACGGTGAATCCCCATCCACGCAATGACATAATCTTTCTTTGACGTCATAATTCCGTTTAGATTTGCGATTCCGTTAGGACGATTAAACGTCAACTCTTGCGTATTCATTGTCTGACACTCTAAGACTCATGTTCCCTTCGCCCACACAATCGACTGTTAGACCGAAACATTGGCTTTGGTTGGCAATGACCAGAAAGATACATTATTTCTCTAATGGCGTACACATAGATAAATCCATCCGGATAAGTATGATAAAAACGTCATCGTCCAACCCAACACGTCGAATCCGTGTCTATCATATGACTCGCATTACCCTGGCCGGCAAAATCGACTGTCATATCTGATTGGGCTACGAGTATGACTCACGCCTCCAAGTGATCGGCACCGAAACCCCACGATAGCACGATAATCGGAACCAGGCGGAACAAAACTCTCGTGCATGACAATTTCGTGGGAATGATTAACCGTCAACTCACTATTAATTGTGCGTCAGACCATGAAACATAGGATTACGTGGCTCTCCTACGACTCATGTCCCCAAGTGGTCTTCACAGACACCCATCTGAATCTAGACAGGGCCACCCCCACGCAAGGACTTCGTGCCGCGATTGGACAATGCCCGGACTTGGCGGAGCCACACGTGTTCGACGTCGTGTACATATTAAGGCCATGTCCTCTGACGTCATGATCCCCTAACAGAGATAACTAATGAATAAAAAAAATATCTTCGAATAAGACATATTTATTATCATTTAACTTAATTGATCATTTTGTACATGCTGTGCAAAATATTTCATTAAAAACGAACAGGTCAATTGTATTGCATTCGAACCCGAAGAGTCGGAGCTATTGATAAGACACATATGCCAGCATTGCTGGNGTTGGGGGGGGAGAATCAAACTGACATGGTCAATGACAGCGTGAAAGGCTACAACGCTACACCACGATAACGATCAGATTGCACACCACGGGATGCCTGTTGAGCAGATTCAAATCACACATGTACGTACATGTATTGGGTTGCTACAGCCGGGACAGCGGATGAGTGATATCTCGACTTACAGTGTTCGAGTCGATTAAAAATCCTAACAGAGATAAATAATGAATACAAAAAACATTCTTTGATAAAGACATATAAATTATCATTTAACTTAATTGATTTGTTTGTGTATGTTGTCTAAAATATTTCATAAAAAAGCAGGTCCATTTTATTGCATGCGAACCCGATGATCTAATGACCGGAATCACACGGATCTCACGGACCAATGATCCGTTCACGATGATTCCCCACCCACGCAATGACACGGCCTTTCTCTGACGTCATCATTCCGTTTGTAATTTCGTCAGGATTATCAAACGTCAACGTATTAATTGTTTGACAGTCTTTGACTCATAGGACTATGTGGATCTCCCATGACTCACGTCTCCACGTCTCCGGAAGTAGGCGGGTCCAATTAATCTGTGACGTCACGATCCTACGATCCACGTTTTTTTGGCGCCTTTGGTTGGTTGTTTGGTTGATGGGTTTATAGACTACACTTTACGGACTTTTGGCGCCGTATAAACAATCGCTTTATACTACTGACAATACCCTGATTGAGATATACAGCTGGGGTGAAAAATCGTGTCGGGTGAGAAATCGTGTCGCGTACGCAGCAATTTTGCACGATTTCTCACCCGGGTGAGATATCGTGTCGTGGTGAGAAATCGTGCCGTAACAGGGGATCAATGCAGGGGAATCCCCCAGTCTTTACCCTAGCAGAGTGTCAATGCCGTAGCAGCCAGAGAGATGGTTTTGCTAAATGTATTGGAACACAACGCTTACGTTACTTATCTGGAAGATTGAGACACAACACTGAAGTAACACGTCTATATCACTGTACGTAAATAAGCTGCTGTACCACTCGTAAATGTGCCTGTAATGAGACTGTTGATTAACATTTATGAATAAACAATTTTTATTAACAATTATTAACGGCGTTTACGGCGACTGTGTTACATTTGTTGCCTTGTTTACGTGTGTTAGTTTGGGGTTAGGGGAAGGGAGGGACTTCAATTTCGTTCGTCTCATTTAAGCGTATATTATCATGCGGGGATGGGGGTAGGGGTTCGTTTAGAAATGCAATTTGTTTACAGGGACAAAGATCATGTGATAACATTGAAGCAAGTTTGTGTTTATTAACATATTTTATGTTTTAGCAAATAAACAATGTTCAACGTTAATTCAGCCTTTGATTTTCCCTGTTATCTAAAACGAAAAGACATGTGAGTATTTTAAATCCTACAGTCTCAATAGAGATTGGTTCCTGTTTGATAAGTGAGTTTATATTTATTTCAAGCATTTTGTCATTCAAACAATGAATATAGTAAGTGCAATTAGGGGATTGGACATTTAATGATGTTTTTAGACAGAGATGAGTTAGTGATATTATTCTACAAGACTTGTAACTATATTTTGCTTACCATGTTTATTTTACTAATTGTGGTGCCATGTTGTAGACTAACATGTTTTGTCTCCGTTGAGTAAGTTAAAATGGAATTTCTAAATATCATAGCGACATATTTACAGTCTAGACTGACATCCAATCAATATTACCTTTGTTTCCTAAAGCTCGAGTTATCATAGCCTTACTTATAGATCGTGACAAATTTCATAAAAATCACGATCTTGGTCAGATATCATCTCATAACCTGAACAAATAGAAAAATATTTATGAAATATATATACAATTTATGTAAACTGTAGGCCTTTCTCCTTTAAAAAAGACTTTTCCGATTTGCTACGTTAGTATATAGTATTGTCCGTCGTTGGAAAAGGAGAAATGCTGAAAACTATCTATTCTGCGAGAGAATAGACTGATCGAGGCACGTACATGTATGGCCAAGATCTGTTCATTCTCTCACAGAATAGATAGTTTGAAGCTTTTCTCCTTCTTATAACACAGTATCCTATGTATAAGTTGTGGTCAGCTTTTGTATTAAGAATGGACAGCTACTGGACATATTTTTAATTTACTGGACATGTCAAGGTAGAGGTACTTAATTTGGTCAGTCCAGTTTGGTCATTTGAAGCGAGAACAGGTGGATGCTCAGGAGACGACAATATCACTTTCAACATAATTTTGGAAGATTTTTCATTTAAAACATGTTGATTAACACAATACATTGAACATAGAACAAAAGTATAAGTTTACTAAAATGGCGATTAAACATCATGCATCATGATAAAAATAGAACAATTTTTAAAGCAGAGGTTAAATCAATTAAAACCTCACATATCATCCAAACCAACACTGATGGCAGTTAAATTATTTCACTTCCAGGAGATAACCACTATATTCGTGAGACATCAGGAAATGTCTATTTGATAAATTATAACTCGTG